GGCAGGGGGTGGCAGTTAGGAGCAACCAGGCTGGCAGGGAGGGGGCAGTTGGTGGCGACCTGGCCGGCAGCGGGGGGCAGTTAGGGGCAACCAGGACAGCTGGGGGGCAGTTAGGGGTGATCAGGCTGGCAGGGGGGCAGATAGGGGTGACTAGGCAGGCAGGCAGGTGAGCTATTAGGAGCCAGTGGTCCAGGATTGTGAGAGAGATGTCCCAGATTGAAGAGGGTGCAGGTTGGGCTGAGGGGACCCCCACCTCCCTGCACGAATTTCATGCACGGGGCCTCTAGTAAGTGAAATAGAAAAATAAGACAGAAAAAATAGAGAAAATTAAGGAAATCAAAAGCTGATTCTTTTACAGTACTGTATCAATAAAATTGATACATTTATATCCAGATTGATGAACAAAAAAGAATTTATAAATGATCAACATTAAGAAATGAAATGGGTGACATCACCACTGATCCTACAGATATCAAACGAATAAAAACAAAACCTCTTGAATATATTTAAAGTCAATACTTTTGACTAGTTAGATGAAATGGAAAAAAAATTGTGTTGCCAAAGCTCACACAAGATTAAATAAATAATCTAAATACCTCTTTATCTATAAAAGGTATTGAATTTATAGTTTTAAATATTCCCACAAACTGGGACAAAGCAACTTTTGGAAATAGTCCATAATTTGTTTATGTTGGTTATAAACATTTGTCAAGCCTTAGCAGGTGTGGCTCAGTGTTTGAACATAGACCCATGAACCAGGAGGTCACATTTCAATTCCCAGTCAGGGCCAGATTGCAGGCTTGATCTCCAGTGGGGGGCATGCAGGAAGCAGCTGATGGATGATTCTCTCTCATCATTGATCTTTCTATCCCTCTCTCCCACTCTCTTCCTCTCTCTGAAATTAATAAAAACATATTTTTTAAAATTTAACATTTGTCAAACCTCATAAAACTGAACACTTTAAAATGATAAATTTTTGTATGTAAAATATGCATCAATAAACATGATTTTAAGAAGGAAAAGTGATAAAGGACAAATAAATAATATCATAATTTTGAAAAGAGATGTAACTAAAAATTGAGTAGGCATTCAAATGGCAATAAGCAAGGCTGTGAATAAATTTATGTCAATAAATTTAAAAACTTAAAACAGACAAATTTCTGCTAAAATATAACTAACAAAAGCTGATGGGATGTAAAATAGCCTGAAAAATCATATAAGCATTAAAGAAATGGAGTTTGTATTAAAAATATTCCCACAGAAATAGCTAGATGAGTGAGTTCCATCAAATTTTCACAAAACAGAATCATTTCAATCATACCCTCTGGAGCTCCAGTGTGTAGTTGTGTGTTACACAAAGGTAGAGAGATGAGGTAATAATAAGACAGTATAATCACACCCATGTTTTACTTGACAATGGATGTGCCCTGGCATGGGACTTTTTATCCTGAAGGGATGCCTTTTTCTCATTGGAACAAAGACCATGCCATTTTACTAAGCTGTGAGTCTAGTTGCCAGCCCCTCTAATGAAAGTAGAAAGTTGAGTCACCTGATGTCTACATTTATCCCATGTCTACATCTCATAAGTTTAGAAAAATTGTCTTAAAGCAAATTTATCATCTTCCCATAACTAGTTCTTCTTCCTATTTTCTATGTGCATGTGCCATACAATCATGTCCTCTCTTTAAAAAAATATTAAAAAGGGGGGGGCCCTAACCGGTTTGGCTCAGTGGATAGAGCGTCAGCCTGAGGACTGAAAGGTCCCAGGTTCGATTCTGGTCAAGGGCATGTACCTTGGTTGCAGGCACATCCCCAGTAGGAGATGTGCAGGACGCAGCTGATCGATGTTTCTCTCTCATCGATGTTTCTAACTCTCTATCCCTCTCCCTTCCTCTCTGTAAAAAAACAATAAAATATATTTTTTTTAAAAGAAAAAAAGGGGGGAAGGGTAAGAGATCAACCAAAGGACTTGTGTGCAAGCATATGAGCATAACCAATGGATACAGACAGTAGGAGGGTGAGGGCATGTTCTGTGGGTGGGAACAGCTAGGAGAGGTCAATGGGGGCGGGGGGAGACTTAAGTAATACTTTAAACAATAAAAAATTTAAAAATAAAATAAAACATTTACCAATTTGGCAAAAAACCCCAAAACATTTTTATATACACTGAGTGGCCAGATTATTATGACCGACCAGATTATTATGACCACCCCATCAGTACAATGAAGTGAATTAGTTATGCAAATAATAATAAAACCTTGAGAGTATTTGCTTAGGAAGTTTTCAATATTCAGTATTTTTGGAAGTGTCAATGAAGTACTGATGGGGTGGTCATAATAATCTGGCCACTCAGTGTATATACTAGAGGCCTGGTGCATGAATTCATGCACCAGTGGGGTCCTTCGGCCTGGCTGTGGGATTAGGTCAAAATTTGCTCTCCAACATCCCCCAAGGGGTCCCAGATTGTGAGAGGGTGCAGGCCAGGCTGAGGGACTCCACCAGTGCACAAACGGGGCCGGGGAGGGATGCAGGAGGTTGGTCAGCTAGCGAGGAACCACGGGAGGGCTCCAGGGCATGTCCAGCCCATCTCACTCAGTCCTAATTGGCTGGACCCCAGCAGCAAGCTAACCTACCGATCAGAGCATCTTCCCCCTGGTGGTTAGTGCACGTCATAGCAACTGGTCGACCGGTCAACTGTCTGACCTCTAGTGGTCAGTGCACGTCAGAGTGAGCAGTTAAGCGGCCTTAGCATATCATTAGCATATTACACTTTGATTGGTTGAACAGCAGACTGGACGACTGGACACTTAACATATTAGGCTTTTATTATATAGGATGAAAAATCAGGAAAATGCAAGAGATTGTTCAAAATCTCACTGTCTCCTTTCTCTTATGTGTCTTCATAAGAGTTTTAATGCTCTTAGATAACCACAAATTTGACTTTCACTTGACCTCCAATTATAGTACTTAGATAGCACTTAGTACTCAGTGAAAGCAAAACTGCAGCTCTGTAAAGTTTTCTGCAATAAAAATTTATTTTAAAGACCTGTACTTGTCTTAGAATAACCCTCAGTAATTTTAAAAAAAATAAAATATCAAGCAAAGTTAAATCCTTTGTAGCCTTTCCAAATTCATTGATTTCCTCATATTTTGAGTGAGAATATTAATGTCAATTCTGTCCTTACTGGATAAAGGATAGAGAAAAGGGCTATAACAGTCACAGCAAAAATCTTTATTGAATATGTGACTGTTATGGGCTGACTCATGTCCTTAACCCCAATGGCCTTCAGAGGTAATTGAGTTAAAATGAAGTCATTAGAGTTGCCCTTAATCCAATATGACTGGTGTCCTTATAAGAGGAAATTAAGACAGACATGTAGAGGGAAGACCATATGAAGACACAGGGAGAGGATACCATCTAAAGGCAAGGAGAGAAGTCTCAGAAGAAAGCAACTCTGCTGACACCTTGATCTCAGACTTCTAGTTTCCAGAATTGTGAGAAAATAAAGTTCTGTTTAAGCCATCCAGTCTATGGTACTTTGTTATGGCAGTCCTTACAGTGAATTGATAAAATAATAGAAATGAAATAATAGATATCAAAATAGTTTAAAAATTTCAACTATTCAATGTAAAGTAATAGTGCCCAAATTAACAATAATAAAAGTAATGCTGATACCCATAGTTCAAGATACTCAATGCATGATTTACCCATTAGTATGGAGTCCTTAGATCTTGGGCGACTGAACATAAATGACTATGATAAATTGAGATGCTTTCTGAAATGCAAACTGAAGTGAGAATCATTTTATTTTCTCATAGAAGCCTTCATCAATACAACCTTCAGTGGGGAGAAAGTGGGGAGGGGGGAAAACCCCTTGTTCTTTTGAATTCCCAGAGTTCTTCTATGCATGCCTTGTGTTATAATTTTGGATTTTGTCCTATTTGCCCTATAATTGTACAGTAAACTGTACCTCATAAGTCAAGTTTTGCTCACCACCTGTTTTTGTATGGCCCACAAGAAAAGAATTTTTTAAATGTTTGAAAAAATCAAAATAATAATATTTGATTATGTGAAAATTATATAAAATTCAAATTTCAGTATCCACAAATTAAGATTTATTTGGTATTCATTCTTTTATACATTGTCTCTGGCTGTTTTAGTGCTTCAATGGCAGAGTAGAGTAGCTGTGACGTAAACTGTTAAGCCCACAAAGCCTAAAATATTTACTATCTGGCCCTTTACAGAAACAGTTTCCCAACCCCTGTCCTAGAAGACTGTCAATTTCCTGAAGTAGTGGCCATATCTAAACACAACTTTGGTACTCCCACAATGCCTACAGCAGTGTCTTCAACAAAGTGGATGCCCACAAAATGATCATAAAATAAAAAATTTCAGATTTTCCCTAGCCAATAATGTCATTGTGCACAAATGACCCTGGTTATATCTTTATCAGAGTAAATTATTTGTTTCTCCACTCAATTATTTCCATTAGTCAGACAGAGTGTGTATGTTCACATATAGTAAGTCCTGCATAAAAACATTTTAATAAACTTTCATAGCAACACTCTCCTAAGAATACATTCATCACACTTATCTTAAGTGAGTCTTCATATGTGAAAATCATTGTGCTCCCAATAGAAACATGATAACTTTGTACAAATTAAGATTCATAACCAGATCCATGACTACAAACAATGTGACAAATCAAAACAGTAAATGGTGTTTTCTCCAATTTCTCTCAAGCCATCTGAGTGAAGACTGAGTAAGGTCAGCTAGATTACAGCAGTGCTTAACTCCACTGAATATGCTTCTGTGACATAAAAAAGCACCACATCTCACACCACAACCTAAACACTCAGACTTGTACCCTACATCACCAGTACACGTTATGTCATCCCCTTCCTGGTTGCCAGGGCAATGCAGTTGATGCCTGTCATATCTGAGTTAAGTGGAAAACACACAGGCAAAGTTTATTTTTCTAAGTGATGCTCATGATTCATCAAGTTCCAAGTTTTGATGTTAATCCATTTAATTGCCCTAATAGTTTCTGCCAGGCCCCCTTCACCTCCTTATTCCTTAGACTATAAATCATGGGGTTCAGCATGGGTGTCAAAATGGCATAGAAGAGAGAGATCAACTTCTCCTGAAGGCCAGAGGGGCCAGAGCTGGGCTGGATGTAAATGAAAATGGCCATGCCATAGCACAGGATAACTACTGTGAGGTGAGAGGCACAGGTGTGGAAGGCTTTCTTTCTTCCCTCTGTGGACCTGATCTTTAGGATGGTGGAGATGATCTTGACATAGGACAAGAGAACCAGGCAGAATGGTGACATCAGCAGGACAATGCTAGAAACCATG